TACTTTTTTCCATCTTAAATTCAATTTTCAAGTAAAATTTTGTTCAAAACGGATTAAGTTGGAATATAGTAGACGAAGCAGAAACTGAGAAAAAACTTAATTGAGATAGAAACTAAATTTACTTCATTAGAAATTTTGAGATAATTTTACTGAAATTTAGCTTATAAATTATATCTTGAGAAAAAATTCAACATAAAAAGTCTCAAAGAATTATATATCTGCAATTAATTGGAACATTTGTTGTCATTTGATATATTAGGTAAAATTATACATAAATTCAGATGTTTTGAGGATAATTTTTGTGAAGTAAATCCAACTCCGACATTTTTTTGACGATGATACATGAAGTATAAATCAAAAACTTGCTTTTAAGATCTATATTTCATTATTTTGGATAAAAAACAAACAAAAAATTTTATCTGGAAAGATTTTTAGAAAAGTAATATGGAGCTTGCTGAAAACTTATAAACAAACTGACACTTTAGCAGAAACTGATGTTAATTTTAAGAAACTTCACATGAAAAGTTTCAATTAGACACACATTAGGATTTTGTTCTGGTTAGCTTCAATTTTTTTTTCAAATAGAAAATTAGGTAGAACTATAGTTTTTTACTTTCAAAAATATACAATTGTTACAGTTTGCACCTTGATTTCCTATGCTAAATTGATTTTTTGAGACGCGCTCTTTTAGAAGTTTTTCGGATACGTTAGAAACTAGGTTCCCTTGGGTTTTTCTTCTTCCGCAGGATTTCAGATTCAGACGTTCGTTCAGAAATTGTTCGTTCAATTGATACTATTTTCCTCCTAAATTCCCCAGTTCTGACTACAATTTTTGCAAAGTGAGTTGAATAGCGAAAACATGCATTGAGCAGAAACCAAGAATAACCTTAAAACATAGAACATTTCTACGGAAAACTCATGAAAAATATGTTGTAGAAGCAACAGAGAGATAATCATCAGTTATTAAGAAGATTTTGTTGAATTTCATTCGATATCTAGTATACTTTTAAGAAAAAGTTATCCCAATTTTAGTCAATTTTATCAGTAAACTGTTCATTTTTCATCATTGATCTGAAATTTATTATTATTAGCGTGAAAAATTTCTCTAAAGGTGTAAATTTTCTACAAATTTTGGGTTAATCATTGAGAATAAACTGAGTTGAATCATGGAGTTTAATCTAAAAATTTCAATGAATATTGCTCTTATTGTTCATTTGAATTGAGTCTTAGTTGATTTTTCCCCGAACTGGACAAAAAATCAGTTAATTACACAAATAAAAAGTTGAAAATGAAAAAATTTGGGTGGATTTGATTAATTTTTACTTTACTTTCTCGAAAATCACAAATAATTTCACTATTTTCCGAGAAAACTGAAGTTTCAATTTGATTCAGATTTTATGAGCTTTCTTTTTAGTGTTCAGAGCATTATATAACCCGCCTTTTAGCTCAAAGTATGGTAATTTTTATCGTATGTCAATATCTTGAGAGAAACTTGCGTAAATATCCATATTTTTATTCAAAATTCTGTATCATTTTTTCAACATGATGCCAATTAAGATAAATTTTGAGCTCAATTTTAAACTCTGTACGTAAGTATATATTTTTTTTCAATTAGACCAGAAGCAACAAAAAATTAGCCGAAAACATCAGATTTTTGCAATTTTTTCCAATTACTTTCAAATTTTGCATTTTTTTTTTCAAAAGCACTGAATCAAAAAGTAAAATTATCTAAAAAAGAATGTTAAAAGGTCGAATGATACCAAATCTATTCGTGTTTTGAAATTTTTTTTTTGAAAATTTTCAATTTTTTTAAATCAAAAATCGAGGTGTTTGCCCAAAAATTCTTACCTCTAACTTACCATGAACTAAAAAACGAATTATATGATCTTCATTCCACAACCTACACTTAATTAACCATTGATATTCACCAATTACATAACGCGCTGAAATTTTTGCGAAAAAACAGACATTTCCACACAAAATCTTAAAAAAAAAATCGTTTTTTTTTCTCTTACCATCACCCCCCCCCCCACATTAGCTCCAACATCTACTATTCCGGCCTAAAACCCACAAAAGACTTGCTCTCACAAAACAGACATTTCCACACAAAATCTAAAATAAAAAATCGTTTTTTTTCTCTTACCATCACCCCCACTATAAACCTCATTTACTTTCAGAATCGCCGAATTTTTTCCACTGAAACGTTTAACCCGTCAAACAATCAAAAACATGCTTTCAAAGTAAATAACCTAGCGATCAGACATTTCAAAACGTATCTATGATTTCAAAAAAAAAAAACAAAACTTTGATCTTCTGTGACTGACATTCTAATCAAATCTTTAACCATCTTTAAAGCTAGAAGTAAATCACAATTTTTCACGCTAACTGCGCTTTCATAATTGGAAAGAGGAATTTGCCCTCCTTTCAGCGAAAGTTTTTGAATTTAACTTAAAAAAAGGAAAATCCATCCGCGAAAAGTCAAATTTGAATGCGCACTGACTTCTCCTGAAAAAATCAACAAGACATAAATAAGTATTTTCACTGCGTGAATTGAAAATCAGTCAGTAGAACTTTTGTGTTTACTTTAGAAGCATTATTTCCTTCTCCAAATCAAGGCTTAAAATGAAGACTACTGCACTGTTAAATTTTTGTCGTAATTAAAAAAATCAGATCAATTTTTCTTCACACGAGACGAAATTTTTTGATTTTTTTTTGGAATCTGAATCATGGCAGATGAGGCCTTAACCAGAAACCTCACTTGGACCATGCGAGTGACCTTAACACCCTACCCTCGTAACTAACCTTAATTTCCGTGATATGAAATCCTATTTCAAATTTCTAAGTTAAACGCCAAGTTTCCACCCGTTTTCAATATTAAAATCTCTGAGCGTAAATTAGGGCTAGCTGGAAAATGACTGAAAAGCGGACTTCAAATAAAAAAATTAACGGTTTAAAAACACTAGCGTTAAAAATATCCTTTCTGAAATTGAGCCAACATAATAAGTGAAAAAAATCACTTCAATCCAAAGCACTCAGTGCGTTAATATCTTTTCAAGGCTTCTTTAAAATTTACGTAAAATTCATGAGACCTTCATTCAAATAAAATCTTTCTTTCAAAACTAATTCTAGAAAACTAAATTATCAGAGTGAGTAGATTTTAACTTAAAGAAATGAGAACTTTTGCTAAACTAATATAAATTTTTTAATTGAGTAGCACAAAAGTTAGCCTGAATCAACTATAACTTTCAATAGACTAGCACAAATTTTAACCGGAATGATGATTTTGATCACAATTTCAAACTAATAAAAAATCATTTATTATATTTTGTCCATATATTGTTAATAGTATTAATTACAGTTTTTTCCTGTTGTTTTTTGTGTTTCAACGTTATTTTTTCTGCATCATTTAGCTGAACGACTTCACTTTCATAGGACTTATGTTCTGGATGAACTTTTCTTTCGTGTTGCTGGACTGAATTCACCATTGAAAAGCGAGAAGCACAGAAGGAGCAGCAGAAATCTTCCAACTTGTGGGGGAACCGATCAGCATCATTGGTCATCAGATAATGGCATTTATCGTCGTGTTGAAAGGCTCCTACAGCTGAATCGAATGTTTTGCTGCATTTCCGACACTGGAACACTTTATTGCAATAGCGCAAAGTGTATCTACCCGACCTCGCTAAAACGCAAACAATAATATGCCCACTTTCTGCTATTTTTTTTGTATTTTGGATTGCTTAACAATTTTCCGACGACTGTAATGTGAAAGATGCAGAAAATTTAAAACACGGGAAAAAATCCGAGGCCAAACTGTGAACTGGATAGTCGCACAATTTTATGTCTGTATGTTCCTGGATTCCAGAGACAAGTCTTTAAATATTATCCAAAATGTAAGTGGATTCCAATTACAAAAACTCCGAGTTTCCGCGCACAAATAACTGTAACGTAAACATTTTCGGCAAATTAGTTTTGTTGCGGATTCCGCAACGAGCGATTACAAGTAGTTATTCCGGATTCCGCAAAGGTAAGCAGATTCCATAAAACTATGCGGATTCCGCAAACTTATGCGGATTCCGCTTACAATTTGCGGCTTCCGCTAACAATTTGCGAATTCCACGGCAGCTGAAATTTACTAAACATATATATTATTATTTGTTTATGGATTTTCAAAAAACGGTTGAATCCAAACAAGCAAAGAAAATAAGAAAAATTAGCAAAAATGCTGATCCCGCAACGATTCTATTTTTGGCTTGTTGCGGAATCCGCTTACAATTCACAAAATGACAGTTTTGCCTCGTAATGGAACTTTTGTAGTTTTTAAAGGGTAGGAAAGAAGCTTGCCAAGGTTAGCACTCAGTGTCAGTAATTACAGCTTATTTAAAACTTATCTTATACTTTCGTCTGCTTATCCTGATGCTATTTAAAATCTCTTGGGAGAAGCTGGATTGCATATGAGTGTGCAACAGAATGTGTTTTTACTACAAAATTAATTGTCGTCACAAAGAAGAAGCTTTCTTTTTCAAGCATTTTGCATTCGATTTCCAAAGATTTCCAGAGGTCAAAAACTTAACAGACTTAGCACCGATTGGACTAACTTATACCTTAAGAAGTTATCAGAGCCGGATCGGACACAATTTAAAGCCTAGCCCAGCCATGATCAAAAACTACAAGGGCAAATATTTTGGTTTTAACATCAACACGCGTTTACTCTCCAATTTTCGCTTTTTCATAAATAATTTTTATATATCTATATATAATTGAAAACAAGATACGTTGAACAAAAAAATGATCTTGAAAAACACAGATTGTGAATTTGTCGGAAATGTTTAAGCTTCCTAAATAAAAAAGCGAAAAATATTCCGTCTGAATATCACTAGTTATTTGCACAGCTCTGGACCAATCTTTGCACACTCCATTCTCTTCTCACATTAATTTGAAACAACTCACATCTAAACCGATGTCTGTAAGCTACGTCAGAGTCCGAACTCCCATCGTCTTCTGCAGTCTCCGATTCAGCTACTTCGCATAAAAGTGAGCCTTCCTCTTTTTCCTTTTCTTTCTTGTCTTTTCCCGGACCAGTTTCGATCCTCTTATCCGGAGAAGTGATGGAGTGTTTGAATTTTAGATGTAAAACGATGTCCTTTCTTTGTTTGCTGAGTTTTTTGCAAATTCCACAAGAGTATGATTCTTGGTAAGGCCACTCAGGAATGTAGTTGCAGCCAAATGCTAGTTTCTGAACCTGAACAGAGAAAAAGAACCCCTTCATCATGGTACTTAAACCCTTACGGTTTCAAGTTCATTCTGTCAGAGATAAGAGTAAAAAAGCAAAACATTCAATTGAACAGATACAAGACTGCTTCCTTACCGAGCAGCCAGCCAAAGGAGTGAAAACAACACCACTCCATGTCCATAGTCGGATGCTGTTGTCTTGTTTCTGCTTCCATAAGCACGGCCTCACTCTGCGAGCAGTTCCCAGCACAAGGAAATCCTCCTTCAAAAGGAAAAAGATCATTCAAAATTGTCTCATTTCCACAGCCCCACTCACGTTTAAATTTAAATATCGAAAAATTTATTTAGTGCTGTCTATTGTAAACAAAACGGCAAAAATAGCTATTTACCTACGCTTCTTCAAGACATTATAAGGTAAAAGTCACCCGTAGTACTGTGATGCATTAAATATAAAACACACAGGCGAAGCAAAGCATCACTCCACTTGCAATACAACATGAACATAGCGTGTTCTACAATAGAATTGTGGCCCAGTCTAATTTGAATTTAAGATTATTTAGTATATATGCCAAAGCAAGTTTCGGGCTTCGGAAACGCGGGCTCGATAGACGGAGCAACCGTAGAAGAAGTTATATTTCTCTTTTTCTCTCAAAAACAAGGTTTTGAGACCGCCCATTCATGCTCCCAGTGCCCTTATTTTATTTGAGTACCCCCATTGTTGACATGCTTTCGGGAAATTAGGTAAAATTTCCCCTGGCAATATTTGGCGTCTAATTGTTTGCTGACTAAAGGTTATGAAACTAAATTTATTAAATTTATCACGATATCACTGCGCATGACAAATTAATTGACAAAAATAGAATTGAAATCCGTAGAAAAAATCGAAACTTTGTTCAGAAAATTTTAAAAAGTAAAATTTTTTCAACCTTTATCTCGTATATATATTCCTTTCAATAAGTATATTAAGAAGCAAAATAATTGAATGTTAAAAAGAGGCATCGAAAGAAATAATAAGTGTCACAGAACCTTAGCAGACACACGTTTGGCCAAAATTTTTTAAAAGTTCATTTTGGAAAAACTTATCAACTAAAAAAATAAGCCCCCTCAAAGCAATCATTTAATGTTTTCTGCTCCTTCAACTACACAGAAAGAAGTGACCAAGCCAATATTTACTAAGACGAAACCTTTTGGGTCGAAAAAGAACAAAAAATTACATCTGAAACTAGAGTTGGTAAATTTACAACCAACTTTCGAAAAAAAAAAATTCAACCCGGGCGAAACTGAGCTCCGCACCATTTGCGATACAAAAAAAATCAAAATAAAAAAGGGAAATTGTCGAAAAACTAGATCTGTCAAAAGGAATAAGACTAGTTTTGAACAATAAACATGCCAAGACAATAGATTGTGAAATAAGGACAATAGATTGTAAATCGGAAGAAAACTTACCAACCGGTAACAAAGCAGAATATACCTTCGCAGAAACCCTAGAAGCCGGTAGAAACCCTTGGAGCCAAAAAATCCACCAAGACTTGAGACTTGTAAAAAGTACCAAGACAAAACACACACACACACACACAGAGAGCTTTATTTGTTCGTCAATTGAAAGGTGAGGCCACTAAGCCGAATATAATATAGGTCAAAACCTATTTAATAAAAACGCTGAAAAAAATTTAAAAAAATTTTTGCACGGCGATACGCAATGTTTGCCCATTCAGCCGATTTAAAATAAGCCGAAACATATAAAGCTGAAAAAAATATTGCCATGAAAAACTATAATTTATATTAAGGTTTCTTAGAATTTTACGCCATCCAGAGGTGAGCATTAAAAATATTCTTCCCTTGAAACGACTCAAAATTAAATCACTAAGCCGATAAAAAATAAAAAGAAATCATTAGGGCAGAAAGAAGTTTTTAAGCGAAACAAAAAATTAAAAAGAAATATACGAAATCAAGGATAGTCATAGTACAAACGGCAGAAATTAATTAAAACGACTACAAGGGTAACTTGCTTGCAGCAAAAACGAAAAATAAACAATTCTATGATGTAGCAACTAAGCCGACAAAATTTAAGCAGACGAAAATTAAGCCGACAATGCGTTTTTTAACGCAAAAATTCCCGTTTGAAACATCAGGTCCTGTCAGATTTGAACCCAGGAACTTTGCCTTCCCAGACTTATCCGTTATCTTCAAACCAAGTGTGCAGGAGACAAAAACATCAGGTCCTGTCAGATTTGAACCCAGGAACTTTGCCTTCCCAGACTTATCCGTTATCTTCAAACCAAGTGTGCAGGAGACAAAAAAAAATTTGATTATTTTAGAAACTGAACCTAAATTTTCGATTTCTTATTCTTATCGCATGGGTAAATAGAACGAGTAAATCAAATGCGGACTTGCTCAAAATTTATCTGCCCGTTAATGAAAGTACAGATGGATGGAGATGAACACTAATTACAGTCATCCGTGAACAAAGTTGTTTACGGGGAAAATTCTGGTACCTGATTGCAACAATCTTTCTGATCGCAACGGTAATCATGTAAAATTATATTGAAAATAAAAACCTTGAAAATAAGAAAAATATATTGAAAAGAAAAATAAGAAAACCTTCTGCGTGACACGCGAATTCAACTTTTCTGCTAGTACATTGGTTGTAAATTTTTAACTAACATAATCATAGATTGTTCGACAAAACGTCACATCATGTTTGTTGTTTGCGTGCTTTCTTAAAAGTTCCATGCTTGTGAAAGTAGTATTTGCGCACTGAGAACAAAAATAAGACTGCTGATCTGAGCTTCGCGCAACCGAGTTTTGTTTAGCGTGTCTTTCTGCCAGTCCTGGTTGATCAAACAAAGCAACGCACTTCCTGCAATAGAGTCGAATTGGTTCATCCGTATGACAACTTTCGTGATGCTCAAGAAAGCCGGCAAGTTTCCGGTATTGATAGACCTTGCTTGATTTTTCCCATTTTCGGCAAAAATATTCTAATGAATATCCAGTTATAGAACTTGTTTTTAACTCTTCCATGCATTCACTAAAGGACTGCACAACACAGCTGAAGCATTGAATGTCTGTTAGCTGACTTTTTGAACTGACACTCATTCTGACTGTCTAAAAATAGATATAGCCAACAGAGATAGGAAAAGTATTATAACTCCCGAAACGGAAAGAAAATTGTTTCAGTATTTATATTCACATTTTCTAACTTGAGTTTCAAAGAGAAAATCATATCACACTAAATCTCGTTCAACTTCAGGAACATTTTACGTTTGGCACTTGTGTGATTGCTGGGGAACTAAAAACTGAAATCCACTGTCGAAACGAAGTTAATCCCGTTTTTACTAGCAACAAATTTTGACAATTTTTCAGAAAAAAGTTTAACTTTTTCCCAAATAAATCAGTAGCGGATTTAGGGGGAAATAAATCAGTAGCGGATTCGACCCCCTGCAGACCCAAAGGTTCTCCGCTTTGTACTATTTTGAGATACCCATTTTTGGATGAATGGCCTTAAAATTTTTCTAAGACGCCTTTGGCGCCAATATATACTTATTTTGAGGGGAGAGAGCGCGCCGAAAAAACGCGATTTTTTGGTCGAATATTTCCAAAAAAAAAGCATAAAAAAGCTTTGGTCAATCTAGGGTCTTTACAGTGATTTGGGAGAGCTCAGAAAATCAATTTGAGCGACCTACCTAAAAAAGGTCGACAAAATTTCAACATTTTTTTGAAAATCCACCTCCCCCCTCGAGAAATTCCTAGATGCGAGCCTGAAATAAATGTCTTTATTTCGTTCAAGGACACTTAATACACAGATTTTTCAGAAAGCGTAGAGTAATCATAGAAAAACTGATAACTGAAACTGATTACGAATAGTGAGCAACTATTGATTTCACTAACACGGTGAAACCTCGATGAAGTGGAAAATTTTGAAAAGTAGGGAAAATGGCTCATTTTTAGAATACTCTTAAGCTCTGAGGTCGATTAGGATTTCTTCGCAGGGATGTGACTGAATGACCACTAAAAGAGTCTTCTTTCAGTGGTATTTAATACTAATTTCTGTAGGCGCCTTAAGCCTCAAAAACATTAAATTTAAGGGGGTGCAGAAAAAGGGATTTTCACATGCATTTCCAAAAATATAGATGTATCTAAAACGTTCTTTTCAATTATTTTCCACAAGCTATTACGGCGTAAACTATTATTATTATTATCACGAGGGGGGTCAGATTTTCAAAAAAATGTAAATTTTGTTGACCTCTTATTAAGGTCGGCGAAATTGGCTAATTTTGCTCAGCCGCAGGCAAATTTTTGAAAGCGATACCTCCACAAAATTAGTATATATTCGTGCCAAAAGCGCTTTCAGCAAAATTTTAGGGTTAAGTTAGGGTTATTTGAAACCTTCGTTCTCTAGACAAACTGAGGGCAAACAGTGGATATGAAATGAGCAGTTTTATTCGATACTTTGAAAGATCAAAGACGAGAAACCATTATTTAAAAAAACAGGAGCTTTCTTAACAAATACCGCCCCCACCCTTTCAAGACCTAAATACCTTAAATACCTTTACTAAATCAGTTCAAATGATCGAGAATCTTAATTTCAAGCAAGTACCAAAATTGACAGTTTTAGAAAAAACAATTGAATCTTTTTCGATGTAATGAAACTATTTACAGCCGCTTGTCTTTCTAGACAAAAATAGCCCTATTAGAAAAAGTTTGATCAATCGGTTATTTATTTCTTCCGCTGGGAACCCAAACATTCCAAAAAGAAACTTAAAGCGTCAATGAACTCGGGGGAAACCAAAATAGATATACCTTTTCCAAAAAAAAGTCGAACTTAAAACTAAAAAAAATACATCACCTAAAAGACCTTTAAATTTCCAGAACCAGCGCTAATGAATTCCACTGGTAATTCACTGACATTTTCCGGGCCAATAGATTTTTGTTACTGTGGAACTAAGTTAACCTTGCTTTTAGCAAATGAATTTTAATTGAATTTAGAAAGTCAAAAATTCAACAACTAAAAAAAAACAAATTTGAGTGTAAAAACTTAAGTTTTTTCCTTTAAGAAATACACGTGACATGATGAATTGTCTGCACTTCAGTCATTGAAACAGCAGTAGGGAAAAACAATTGACCTAAGTAAATGTAATAATTTCGTTCATTGACACTTAAAAAACCGAATGACAATCTTGAGCTTCAAAACTTTTTAACACTTCCCAAAAAAGATCCACACAAAATTAAGCTCCTTCACTTAGTTCCTTAACATTGCAGTAGAAAAACCACACGACCTAAATAAGTATCATCGTTCTTTCGTTAACTCGTAAAACAGCCACCAGACAGTTGGGGAGTCATTGAACGCAAGAAAAAATATATATACTGACTTTTTTTAACTTCAACTTTCGATGTTAGCCTGAAACTTCGATGTTTGAATTTCCAGAAAATTTTATGATTAACACTTTTTTGATAAAGTTCAGTCTATTTTTGGATCAATAAGCAAAAGAAAAGATCAAAAGATAACTGGCTGGAAAATCTGAAAATTGAAATCCACTTTCGAAATTAGAAGCCGATCACGTTTTTCGTGACCAGTACACTTTTGCTGTTCGATAATGGAGATTCCCTTTATTTTAACAAAAGATCAAAAGTCAAACCGCGACGAGCGAAAAACCAAACTTACGGTTAAATAAATTCTGAGACTTTCAGGAGAAAAAAAAACAACCAAAAATAATTAAGACTTATGTAGAGTCTTCACTACGTTCATTGACTGTTAAAGACCGATTCGCCCTAACAACCGTTGAGTGAACAAAAAGAAAAAAAACGTCGGTGTATCGACTAGACAAAACTTCATTAGCTCAAATTTTTTACAGAGAGGCAAAGCTTTGCTTCGCAAACTTTTGCGAGAACACGACAAAATCAGCTCTAAAATGTCCAATAATAAACATAAGAAAAAAGCCTCGAATTAGTTTAAAAAAACTCGACTACCTCTGATTCAAACCTGCGACCTATAGATTAAGAGTCTCATAAATCTCGGAAGCTTGATGGCACCAAACACTAGCCACAAATAAAGCAGAGATCAGATGCTGCGCAATTCCAATGCCACGGTGAAATTTTCAAATAATTAACGATGAACACTTTTATTTGCGAGTTAGGTTCGAAAAAAGAAGGTTTACAATAATACACTAAGCTGATCGCATGGGTAAAAATTGAATCCTGTATGGACTAGCATGAAAAACCGAAACACAGAATTCAATTTTTGTCAAAATGAAAACTCATTAACAAAAATGTAAAATCACATTTTTTAAACAACATTAACAGTGTGTACGACGATAAATGTTGGGTACAAGCCATTCCAGGTCAGGTGAGGTTGATCATTATTTGTGTATAGAATTTCAATTACTTATTGATTGTTTAAATTCCCAACTGCCCAATTTTCTATTTCTGAGACAGTCAAGTTTCAATTTGAACAGATTATTATCTTCATATTGTATTTCTGAGAATTGAAGCTATCAGAATTAGACTGGTTAAAAATTGTTTATGATTCCCTACTTTTATGCTATTCTACCTTTATGCTAGTCGATACGTTACCATTAAATTATTCGCTTCAACTGCTCCAGAATGGAAAGACAGTGGGGCTACGTTCTTGATCAATGACGGCCACATTTGGCAGTAAAATTTGGGATACTAGAAACATAAAAATAATTCAACTCCGAATCGAAGCAAAGCTTCGCACCACTTGAGATATCATCTAACAAAGAATGGCAGAGGTAGCCGAAAACCACCAGTAAAAACAATGAAAAACGCAACGAACCACCCATATTTTCATAAACCTCAACTAGATAAAAACTGTCGCGAAACACCATTGCCATCATTAAATTAGCAATAAGGCAAAATTCATCGACCGGCAACAATGCAGACAAAACTTGGTTAGATGCCCGTTAACCCGAGAAAGATGGTCAAATATATGAAGAAAACGATTTTTGAAAAATTCGAAGTTTTAGGTTGTCTCCGAAGCATAAAAAATCAATTAAACTTGGTTTCATTTTTCAAACGACGTAATATACGGCAACTAAATCAATATAACAAGCCAAACAATTCAGGTCGAAGAAACTTTAACGCGAATTATACAAAATCTTAAAACATAATTACCTGCAACATTTGAATTTTCCTTTTTTCTTCACTTACAGAAATGTTTCGTGTGTACTTACCCAAAAACCTATTCAAAAGATTACACTGCTCAAAATTGAATAAAAAAGAACTGAAGAAAACGAGAAAATAAAAAAAAGTAAACGAAAGTATCGATAAAATCTCGTAATTATGAAAGATTATTTTCATTCGAAAAAAATTTCTGATCTGATAGCAATTGAAGCCTAAGATTTAACACAGAGGCGAAGTTGCTGTTCGCATACACAAGCAGAAATATGAGCGATAACGCTACTGGAAAATACTGAATGAGTAAATGTTTGAGTCTAAAAAATTTCTTAAGTGACGCACGCCAAATATGACGCATGAGCAGTCAGTTTGAAAAAATAAATTTACCAACTAACGCTCCTCAATTTATAGAGCGGACGCAATTTAATAAGGATACGAAAAACTTCATTAAAACATCCGACCCTGTCCAGCTTCGAACCCTCTTATTTCGTTGCGGGTCTCCTTCCCTACCTCTACGCTACTGATCCAAGATACCTTGAAGCTAAAACGCTATTTGTAATATCTTTACCTGTGTAATGATCTTTACAAAATGAATATGAAAATATAGCATGCCACTCAAAAAGCAGCTAGTAAAATTTCGAACAAACCAACTGAAAATTTTTCGTTTTGTTTTTTAAAATAGGCCCCCATAAGTTAAAATTCCGCTTTCCCAAATAAATTGTCATCAAATTTGAATCAATTTTAATTGAAAAACTGACAAGAAAACTATTCGACAAAAAAGTAAATAAGCCAAATAATTAAGGCCGACAAAATGAACTGAAAATATGCCGAAACTTTTTCAGAGAAAAAACCGCAAGAATTTCCGTGTACCAACTGCAACGCAATCATGAACACCCAAACAAGCGACGGCACATGTAAGATGTAGGTTGTACATAAATACTTAAGCATTTCTAAGTTCCTTCTAAGTAACCATTGCGTGACCAAAATTATTTACGGGGGAAAAAGTCTAGTAACCATTTCCAATTCCCTTGCTTGGGAAATAAGTCCAACTAATCTTCAGCTTCGTCCTTTACACCTCAAACAAAACATATTGAAACCTATAAAAATTAATTGTTTAACCAGCCATCAATGACTAGCATGTTTAATTGCTTTCTATTATACAACAGTTTAGTCTATCATTTGTGATCCGAACCGACGAGAATATTGGCATCGAAGCAACTGTATCGAGTTTACAGTCTGAGTAGCGTTTTGTTGTCAGTTAGTTTCATCTATTCTGATTCATAACAGTGAGGTAAACTGTACCAAGGGATGTGTGTTTTTTTTTTAGATGTCCTAGGCGCTGTGAAGCCTGAGAAACGCATTATTCTGATCTGTTTCCTTTTTGACCTGTTCCAAATATGGTTCCAAATATCTCACATCTTCGTGAGCTTTCGTCCACTCTTCCTCGGGAAGAATGCGTTGTTTCATTTGCAGTTCCATCGCCCTTCTGATTCTGTAGATCCTTTCCCACTTCATTTCGTCTGGCAGTCTCTCAACAGCTTTTTCCACTATGTTACTACAAAACGTTAAGCATTAATTCTGTATCAAATTTCAACTCGATGGCGAAGTTCAGCTTCGCATCTATTGAGACAGTAAGAAACATAGCCAACAGACAGTTAGAAAATAGCCATGAAAGCAAGGAAACAAAAAAATGAACCCAAGTTGTAAAAATGGATCGATCAATAGGTAAATTTTTTATTCCACAGGGAAACGAAACACGTAAAACAAAAAAGGACTCTTATTCAACTTATATAATATGTACCACAAATGAAACAAAGCCAACTAACAGTTGCAAAAGAGTAATGAAAGAAAAGAAATTGAAAAAAAATTGACTTGTTTTTTCAAGAGCCTTCAACTTTTAAATTTCGAAGAAAAAAACAGATGGCCTTGGAGCTCTTTGAATTTGTAGAACAATTTTTGATAGACAATTTTTAAAACTAACCCAATTTGAGAAAAATGGATCAAAAAGTAAAACTTTTATTTCGCTGGGAAATCTGATATTAAAACCCATTTTCGAAATGAGAACTCGATCACGTCTGTCGTGACCTGTCCACTTTTGCTTTTCAATAGTCGAGTTTCCCTTCGTTTTACCCATAGAAAAACACTGAATATGACAAGAAATCACAAGTCACATTGCAAAAAAAAATTCTAAATTGAGCGTGAACAAATTTTTCTTGAAAAAAAAAAATTTAAAAAAAATCAGCAAGACCTACTATACAAGAGTATTCACTATGTTCGTTACTTTTAAATAAATTTCAGCGGTCCTCTGAAAAAAAATTAATGATTTCCAGGAAACCCATTAATTTTTTTTACTATTAATCAAATTTTGAAATTCGGAAACAAAGTATCACAAAAAAGCGTTATAAACTTCATGAAAATTTAGATCAGATACTTTTTCATAAAACTAATTCAATTAGATTCCGCTGAAAAGGCTGAAAAATTAGGCCAAATCTTTGAAACGAAGTCAACCATGCGCTACTTTTATATTAAATATTAGAGATTGAAATTTATAAGCAAAACAGCGAACAATCATACTTAAGCGTGAACAACTTTGAGGCATTCTGGAAAAATGCGATGAAATAGCACAACCTTAATCAGCGGTTTTGTAGATGGACGCCTTTGTGGTAGAACCAGACTCCAACCAACACGAGTGCGAGACCCATCAAATTCCTTAATGTCTCCAACATCAGAAAGCGGATTTTTAAACAAGGAGCAGCCCAAACCAGCCCCACTGTTCCAAGAACTTCATGGCTGAATTCATGGTCACGTGCCTATTACTAGTAGTTGGAATAGAAACAAATCCCGTATCTCAATCTTGCACTGTCTGTAATCAAGATTGCAAACGCACCGAGTATAGCGTGTGGTGCCACTACGGTGGCTAAGTATACCTCAAATGTACCAAACTCAAACTCGTCAATGACTGTAGCACCTTCGTGTGCAAAGCCTGCAAATGGTGCCGACCACCTGATAAATCCATGGCACAGCCACTACCCGCTAATGAAACAAAAAGGACGGAATCATACATCACATGAAAACGAACTACATCAAAATAGCAGTTATACAAGAAACAAACCTTAATGCGGCATTAAAAGACCCTTCTGGGTATCAAATAAAGGCCACCAACAACGTGGCAAAGGCGGAGGTCTGGCATTGGTCATTAATGAAAACGTAAAATACCACTATTTTTCCACTATACACATCAGATAATCACACTGAACAACGATGAATTCAAATTGAATCAGGCAACTCATTTCTCAACCTGATACACATCTATATTTCACCAAATTCACGCTGCTCCACAGGCTTTTTAGCCTCCTTAAAACACTAACTAGACCTAAAATTGTCTCTAGATGTTGGTGCAATTAACGCACAAAATGAGCTCTGGTACATTGTGTGCGTTATCTTATAAACCTATCTTATAAACCTAAACCAAACAAGGACAAATTTGCAAGCGAAACTGAAGAAACAGACTTCATAGTCTTAAAGGAAAATTTTCCAACCCACGTCACAAACACGAGATCGAGCTCACCAGACATCAAACTTGCCACACCTAATTGCTGCTCCTTGTTAAAAAAACCGCTGTCTGACGTTGGAGACACTGAGAAATTTGACGGGTCTTGCGCTCGTTTTAGCATTAGTATGTTTCTGCCACTGAAGGACGCCCATCTTTAGAACCGCTTATTTAGGTCGTCTTGTTTTATCACTTTTTCCGGAAAAATAGAGCACTGAACTAGCACTTGGCTCAGATCACATCCCTATCAACATAAACCTCACCTGCGACATTAAAAACTTAAAACCCGAAAAACGCAACTGCATTTACTGCGGGAAAGCATACTGGTTGAAATTCCGCGAGGAAACAAGAATTGTTTCTAAAATTGCAATTCTTAGGCAATGTTCTTAAGGATGAAAAATGATACGGAGATATCGACAAAGCCGCATCACAAAACATCCCACAGGGCCGCATTCCTAAAATAACAGGTAACCTCGCTGGAGAGGCGCTAACAATCATGTATAAAAGAGATAACTTACAAAAAGAACACCTAGATCACCCGGACATCAGAGCCCTCAATCACAAAAAAAATAAGTTATTAAGCGCTTAAAATGGATTTCATTCCAAGAAAAGTGTGATCACAGAGTACAGTCGAGGAATTTATGGTCGACCATTGAATCCCTTTCCTGACAAAGTCCACCAGAGACATCGAACACACCAATTACTTTAAATGATGACCCGCCGATATATGATGCTAAAAGGCACGCTAAGCTCTTCAACGATCAGTACACCCCTGATCCATATAAACCTGACGAAGAATGGAAACTTGTAGTGAAAAAAGAAAACGCCTCTTTAAAGTCACCAACTTCCTATCCGAAGTAAAAACTGCGTTTAAAGAAGTAAAATGAGTAGCGCCCTGATTCCTGATACGATTGCACCGCTTCAACTTCACTACCTTGAAATGATCGGCATATCAAACATCAGCAACGTTGTTAACATCAGTAAACAACAAAATAATCACTCATAACTGGAAGACCGGTAGAATTCTTCCACTACAAAAAACCGGTAAAAATCGTGAAACATCTAAAGGATATAGGCCCATTGCACTTCAGTGACCCGGGGCTAAACTAGCGGAAGTTTACTACTATTCGATGGAACGAGTATATTGAGCTGGCTAACTATCAGCATGGCTTCAGAAAACCTTGGTCGACATTAAGGGCCTAAAAGTGTATCAACTACAAAACCCTGTCATAGAAAGCTAATTGTCGCTTCAGATCTTACTACTGCATTTGATACGTTTAACCACCGAGTTTTATTCAATGACACATTTAGAGGGCCCCATAAGGCGGTGTTCTCTCACCAGCTCTCTTTACCCTGTATATGTGCTTCATGCCACAACCTAGTGCGAACTATAATAGCCACCTATGCTGACGACATTAACTACAAACATGGCTCTATTTACAAACATGGCTCTCTTTACGAATTTGGCTCTCTCTCTCTCTCTCTCTCTCTCTCTCTCTCTCTCGCTCTCTCTCTCTCTCTCTCTTGATGATAAATCTATGCCCACGTTACTTACATGGTCTGCCGAAGAGAAAATTAAATAACGTTTGATATCGGAGGTAATCGCCAAAAATCATCATTAATCCGACGGCGATGAACTAAGCTGCACCAATATGGTCACCCAGCCTCAATGCTAACTGGAATAAGCTACATGTCAGACAAAATAACATTGAGAACTGCCTCACCGGCTGTGAAGGAATGACAAATATAGACCACCTGAACAAAAAAATCGAGGTCTTTCCGGTGCGTGATCGCAACCACTCTCTCAGAACAGTTTCTACTTTGCAGCCACCTTCTAAGTCGCAAGGATCAAGAAACAACAAAAAGAAACAGTACGAGAAC